CGGCAATTTGATTAAACAACACGTAATTTGATGATTCATTCGTGACAATTCGCAAAATTCTGTAATCTAATTGATAACATCTAACCGATAACATACTGTGAAGCGAGCCATGAACACGCGATTCCTTAACGACATGATTAGCCGCATTATAAACGGTGCAAATCAATCTTATGAGAAGATATTCAGAATTGACTTTCAGAATTCTAGATATGTTAAACAACTCAAAATATGGCATATATTTTATACTTTTTTTATTGCCATCACCAAGATATAATTTAGTTATCCAGATGTTTTTTAGTAATTGATTGACAACGATGCAGACTTTCGTTAATCACGAATCAAAATAGTACATAGCGAAAAATAGAAGAACCTATGGAGTGATTAAATAAGATTGATCATCAAACTATAGAAATATTCTTAGACAATTTAAAACAAATTTGTAAATTAAAATTGTTTCGTGGACTTAATGAAACGTTACTTTTTTTTATGATATTTGACCGATATTCATAAAACTTGTTTAAAAAGTCCGTAAATTACAAAATAATCCCAAGAAGAAAATACAACGTTTACTATCAAGTGTTGTCATTTCTGTGATATTTTATGTGAACGAAGAAAGTGAATTTGGCAAATTCAACAGTGATTACATAAATATCATCGTGGATTGAACACGTAACTATACAATTGTCATAAATATTGCCTATTTAACTGTTTTATCATTTTTACCTCGTCGACAGAATATTCTCATTGCAATTAAAAATGGCAATTAAAAAAAAATGATTTATGAAAGTTACGTAAATTGCGGTAATTATCTTTAGTTTCTGTACGCTTCGTATAATTGAAAAAATAACTTCCACATACATTGAAAGACAGGAAGAAAAGTGGAAAAAATTTATTATTAATTCACAAAACTAGCAAATTAAAGCATTAAAGGATTAAAGAATTTCGCATTTTGCATTCGCAATCGGAACTAATTGTGAAAAAAGTGAAGAACAAAAACGAGAAAACGGGGAAACTGACGATGCTTTTACGGTTGTAGAACAAGTTCAGTTGGGAAATTGAGTGTTGGCTCTTTATGGATTTGAAGTGAATATAATTTCATGTTATTAATAATGATTTGTAATTTACGAGAATAGAAAGTTGTTTTTCGTTTATATAGCCGATTATACAAACGGCACGTAATAAAGATTAAATAATATTGTCGATGGAATGTGTGTGTTGCTTTTCGTGCTGTAATTAAAAACAATGATCGCGAGTGCCAATCGCGAAAATTACTATGGGCTTCTTTATCTGACAATCACGAAGGAGGATAATGTTATCGCGTACGCAAACGCGCGAAAACGCTGTAAGCTCACGTTCCACCGTAGAAATCACGATCGAAGTAAAAAACGTTACAAAGCATAATAATAATTTTGCATAAATGCTAGTTAATTTGCGAAGACAATAGAAGTAAAAACTGAACAACGCATAAATTGTACATATGTTACATAACACTACTACTGTCCTATTTTTCTCGACGCCTCGTTGTTTCTATTTCGAATAGGTTTCTAACCGGCGTAGATTTATTTTTAATAAATGTATTATTAATTCGATAGCAGTTGTCACAAATATATTACACAAATTCAGTCAGACTTATATACGTAATCGGCTACGCAGACGCACTTTCTCTTAATTCTTTCGTAAGCAAATTCTTCGAAAGAATGTGGCTTTGGATTTTCAAATAACATTAATACAAAATACGATATCAATATTTTAAGGAATAAATTTCTTCTTGCAATATTTTTATCATGATGTTATAAAATATATAAATATATGTATAACTAAACACACAGATTTATCAAAATTTACGATTAGAATTTACAAATTATTTTATTTACAATTATTTACTATGTCAAACTAATTGTAAAATTTAAAAATTTTGTTAAAGAGTTCAATGCATATGACTAAAATTTATTCTTTGCAAGAATACATATTATTGAACGTAGCCGAGGAACGAGACTTTTATCGTTCCACATTAGCATGCGATCAAAGCGCACGTATTCTATATTTACACGGTGCGCTTTGCGTTTTTCCGGGCAGCGCTCGCGGCCGTTTCGATTAATTCGGCGGTGGTTGTAAACGTGCGAGACTCGTGGCGATTCTATTCGAACAGATTTGCATAAATATTGAATAACGAACAAACGGGATGCTGCGTGAAATTAAAGGCAGAAACGCGGTCGCGTTTTCAACAACTGGCGTGGTAGTCGGATACACACAATATTTATTTATTTATTTATTTATCAATAAATAGCTTTGCTATTTATTTATCGCGCGAAACAAGCTTGAACGATTTAATCGTCGATAATACCTCTCACGTGAGTTGCACACGAATATCGTAATTTTGCGAATAACATTTGAACTAATATTACAGATAAATAAATTGATTTTAAAGAAAACAGTTTGCCCGAAATAGAATGCATATTTACACAAGTGTATGTATATCATATATGTAAAATGCCAAGAGCAGCTTTACAAATATTTCAACAATCTACGTAGGAGCCGCGAATACGCATATCTATTTATTAATAAATAGTTGTACGATTTATTTATTGCGTGGAACAAGCTTGTTCGATTTAATCGGTGATAATATCTCTCGTAATGCGAATTACAAATGCCGTAATTTGCAAATAACATTTGCTAATACTACAAATAAACGCATCGATTGCCGGAAACAGAATGCATATTTATGTAAATGTATCTATGAAACACTAAGAACTAAACAGTTTTTCGAGTAAATATTTAAAAGTGGATGAAGTTAATACAAAAATTTAATCGAAATTATAAAAATTCACAAGAGCGTTTTCAGTCTGTGTTTTATGCGAAATGCAGACTGGCCAATATTGTTATACGCGTTTATTTTAGCTGACATAAAATTACAAAGCCAGCTTGCCCAAAGTGATAAAATAATGCCACTCGTATAATAATAAATGCTGTCGCATTATTTTTGTACTTTGAACTTTTAGTCATTTCTAGTGTTTAAACTACAATGTTACTCTTTTTCCGGTAAAACTTCGATCTTTATTTGCTCTGCGTAATGTGGGATATACAGTTAGAATAAGTACGTTAAATCCTTATTTGGACAATTTTTAATTCAACAAATAGGGTAATTTATTATTACATACTCATTAAGATTCTTCAACAAGTAAAAATCGAAACATCGCAAACAGTCGACAACTAATGGCGAATTCGGCTGGTGTGCACCGAACTGGCACTGCGCCAGTGGTCCGCCATAACTTTTGATTACTAGATTACTCGTGTATAATCGTAATGACTAAGTATAGACGGATAAGGCCAATGGGATAAAGAAGGCTGAGAAAAAAAAACGCATTAGTTCATCCGTTCGAATTCGCTATAAATAGCGAATAATTATCTATCATCAACCATCATGAAGATGATAGAGATGAATAGATGATAGAAATACCTTCGCATGATTAAAATAATTAAGCACAATTAAGATAATCTTTGCTGATAACATATGCAGCTTTGTATAGATATTTATCCACTAGTTTATGCAATTGATCAAACTCTAGCGTTATAGAAGTTATTAGATACATAGTTTTTTTCCTTTGGAAAGAAAAATGGAATCGTGATTATTAGTCAATGATGATACTACTGCGACCTCGCATGCTCATGTTCATTGCCGTTAACGAATCAACGATGGTGCAGCAATGTGCTGCTCAGCGCAAGAGAGAAAGCGCCGCTCGAATCGTCAAGTAGCAAGACTCGTCGATTATGACGAAAGTAAATTTTGCCTAAAGCGTAAGATTACACTGCAGCTTTGTCGAGGATGCTGATTGAGTCGTAGCAGTCGTGAACGCGTGTGAGAGAAACGATCTTAATTCAACAGTTAATAGATTTTTCGAGCATTAGTTATATCCTGTTATTTTAAATGTATTAATTCTTACGCGATATTTTTTGTCTTTATAGCTGACCTACAAGTTTAATTATAAATATAAATTAATACATATTAGAATGTAGAAATACTTATGTACAATTAGAAAACTTTAATGTAGAAACTCGAGTTTAGTGAACTCAAAAATTTACGGATATCGTTTTGCAAAAATTCTATAAATGGAAATTTAAAAAAATGATAGAATAGACATAAATTATCAACACTCGTTAAAACTTAATACTTTCACGTAACATGATACTTTAGCAGGAACTTAAAACGTTAGCAGAATTTATTTACATATACGCACAAGTATATCTTTATTTTTAAAAAAATTTATGAGATTCAAATAAAAATCCTTTTCGTTTTTAACTTTCAAAATATTAGTGTGAGAACTTTGTTTTATTTGGACTTTTTGCTGTCGAAAGTCAATAAGATTTTTTGACTTAAATATCCCGTAACATTAAATATAATGTTACAGGATATCTTTACATATGTAAATGTCTTAAAAAAATATTTATGAGATTATAATCCTGATTTTCAATCATTGAAATATTAACATAAATTTATATTTCTCAATTTATTCGGACCTATTTACCTATTTATTATCATATGGAAATTACTTACACAGTTAAAAAATGTTCTTCTTATAATTATGCACAAGCTACTTGGTTGGTCAACTTGAAGAAAATTTATGGTCAGAAAGAGAATGTAAAATATTTAGAGTGAATCATTAACGCTTATCGTCAATCTGGAAACCATTAATGTCTTCGATGACTAATATTATGTAAAACAAGGATTCGCGTGGCTTACAAAACGTAGTTCGGATTCCTGAAACTCGGTTATCGCAAATGCGGTCGAAGAGGCAGTATCACGCGCGTATTTTCCTCGTTTCCGGCGTTCCCGGTATTCCTTCCGTCGCGCTCGGGGTTTCTCTCCTCGGTACGGATCGATCGTAGGCGCGTCACTTAACCTCAAAACACGCGTACGCGGATGCCGGTACACGCGCGCGTTTTCTCACCCCATCACGCGATTACTTCACCGCACGGATTAACGCATTGACGGTTACACCCACCTGCTATTCCTCGCCCCTTTCCTTTCTCTCTCGCGTCGATGATTCTTCTTTCTCCTGTCCACTTCCGTTCGCTGCCGCCTCCGAAGACCCTTTTTCCTCGAACTCCACGAAGCCGGCAGCAGCTCGTTGACGACTATACAATCTCGTAGAAGCAGCAGAAGCACCCCACGACTGTCGTCGTCCCTCCTCCTGTCACCTGACCGCGCACATAAACGCGCGGCACGCGACGCACCACCTTTCGCGCTCGAGAACGGCGAGCGCGGAGGCAACAACCTCGGCACCTCCTCTTCTGCTTCCGCGATCGTTGTTACTTCCCTTTGACGCGGCGGAGCCGGTCGGTCGGTCGTTTCCTTCCCGCGTGGATCGCGACTCGTGAGATGAAATGCGTTGCGAGCGAGCGATTTGCGAGTGAATATCGGCAGGCAGGGCACGTTCGCCACCGCTTCCTATCGTCCCGGCTCGATAAACTCGAATAACGACTGTCCGTCGTCGACCACCGGTTTTCTTCACCGTCGTTGCGGCACTCGTCGTCCTGATTGTCTTTCTCCTTTCGGTCAGCCGTCGGCAAAATGCACGAAAGGGGGAGGCGAAGCGGAAGAAGAGGGACGGAGGTGAAAAACGGGAGAGAGGGTGCGAGAGGGAAGGAAAAAGAGTGAGAGTGACTGGCGTCGCTGTTAAGCTTACACACGCGGTCACGCTCGAGCGACGACGGTCCCCGCCTTTTAGCACCGACACTGCCGTTTGTCTACTGTTGCCGACGGATTACTCGTCTGTGCTGCTCGTTCGCCTGCCGAGGCGAACGTAGTAGTCGATTGCCCCTCTTTTCTCCGATCACGTCCTACTATCGCCGTTACCGCCGTCTCTACTCCCTTCGGTCCTGGCGCAATCTCGTCCGCCCGTCTACATCCTCCGTGTTCTTCGCTTTCCCCCCGTGCACCTTCGTGTCGTCTGCGCGCACTTCCGCACCGGCTCGCCTCCCTTTCACCCCGGCGCGCTTTTTCCTCCTTTTCTTTCTTTCGAGATTACGCGATACTTATTCGAGCGCTTCAGTCGCCGCGTCTGAAAGCACTGTTCTCCCTTCTGTCTATTTAAACGCTAATCACCGGATAAGTAATCGCTAGACAGAAACGACGACGGCGGGCGCGACAGAAATGAGCTCGCTCGTAGCCGGGCATATTGTAAGTTACGAGGCGCCATCCCACGGTACGTAGTATAATCTGCAGGAACGGTTTGTAGGATCTTCAACGAGGACGCAAAGTATGAAATTTGCCTAATCCAGGAGACAATAAAATGTAAAAGTAGCTTTTACATTTTACAATTCGTTACAGCAACGTTTTATGCAATTTTTATCTTTTTTAAACTCCATTTGTTGACGATTTAATTAAATTATAATTGTTTTCTGCCTAAAATTGTTATTTTTTTATAAATTCAATTCTTTGGAGTTAGTTATGATAAAGGACAATAGTTTTATCTATTTATATGTGAATATAAAATGGTGAAAAATGTAATTTTATTATCTACTTATACATAATTTTTAAATTCTTTAAAAGAGCGTAAATTGTTTTAAATAGTCGCAAATATGTTCTGTGTTTTATTTTATCCACATAAAAAATCTGAAGTTTTTAATTGTGAGATGTTTACATAATATCGATGATTTCAAAATTCAATATTGTTATTTAAATTTATTACTATAACTCAGTTTACAAGCAAAATAAGTTTTATAAGAAAAAGAAATAATTTTAATACATCTATGTACTAAAGCGTATATGTAATTATGTAAATTATTATATTATGTAAATTATATTATATTATAGGCTATTAAAATGCATTACTAGACGAGAAATTAGAGTATATACGTGTGATTTAAAATTTATTTATGCTTTTTTAAAGTACTTAAGATCATGCAAAACCTACATAATAATCTGTAAAATTAATAAATCGTAAATTGTAGAATTAAAGTTATCACTACGCTTATATTTACATTTTAATAGATAAAATAACTTAGTATGCGCGCGCGGGGCGGGGCACAACAGTTGACAATTCCGCATGTGTTATGTCTTTATATTATTTTTTCTTACACGATTACTATATATTACAGTATGTTAAGATAATTGTTATTACTCATTTTGTTGTCCTGCGGAAGATACATTATAAAAAACAATTAAATCAAGTGAGGTACGGTTCATCGATATACTTGTGTAAATTAACAAAGTGAAAACGTTTCTTCTCTCTCGTTCAATCATTGCATCATAAAGTGTTACCGCAAGTGTTACCGCAAAGATCCGTCTTACTTGTTATATTTCCGTCTCTAATCGTGTCTATTTATTAAGATCTATCATACAGTGAGGCATGTATGAGAAAGAGGTCAAATAGTAATGCTTATTAATGCTGTAGTTGTTTTATTTAAAGACAAAATACAGCAAACAATGTGCATTTATTTAACTGAAAATCTCAGCATACAAAATTAACTCTAAATATAGTCATAGTTAATAAATTCCTGTAGACTATTGAATCTTCTTCCGCATATATTGTCTCGGAACTTGTAGAAATCTAACGGAGCTAAATTTAGACACAAGACTGAAATTGATGTACAAATAGGTATTGAGTAGAGGTAAAATTTAGATTTTGTATGATCTCATACAAGAGAAAAACTTCACAAACTTCTCAAGTTTTTAAAAATCTAAAATTTAATAAATGAAGACAATTTGGACATTTTATGCTGCAATTTGCATATCTCTTTATGATACTATTAATGTATTTCCTAAACATATTTTGAATTCTGATTTAAATAATTTAACATAATTTGTTATGTTACTGTGTCATGTTACGCTGCAATGTATTGAAATATAATTCAGCACAGATTAGATTTCTAAAATGTAGTCATGTAGAAACGCTTGAGAAATTCAAGTTTTTTTAATAATGAAAAAAGTTGGGGTACTAAAATTCAATAATGATTTCGCAACATCGGCTGTAGTTTGCGGTGCAGTGAATTGATGAATATCGCGCATCGCGCTAGACTTTAGTATCGTAACGTTTCTTTCACCGGCGAAATACGCAAGTTCGCCGCGTCAAGTTCGCCGCAAGATTGCTAGAAAGAGAGAGAGAGAGAGAGAGAGAGAGAGAGAGAGAGAGAGAAGAAGAGAGAGAGAGAGAGAGAGAGAGAGAGAGAGGAGGAGGAGAGAGAGAGAGAGAGAGAGAGAGAGAGAGAAGAGAAGAGAGAGAGAGAGAGGAGAAAGAAAGTAAGTAAGTAGACCGGAATGAGAGTGATTCCGACCACTTCGGAAAGAGCAGAGCTGTCGGTTCACGTAACAGTCTTGCGGGGTTACGCAAGTCACGATGTATGCCGTCGATGGTATGTATCGACGACGGTTACGGCGGTCAGCGAAAGCGATCTCTTGCCTTCGAAACGACCGCGGGATGCTGGTCGCGCATTGTCTCGAAGGAAATCGATGGTCCTAGATTCCCAAGATCCGGCATATCTTGCGGTTGCACAATTTTGTTTGGCCAGATGGGTTTCTGAGATTTTTTCTGCATATATTTTTTTTATTTTGTTTTTTTCCAGCCTTTTTCCCCTCTTTCTTTTTTTCCCTCCCTTTCTTTCTCCTTTCGTCAATAATCGGTTTACATGATATCTTTGAAATATAGTTTGTTGATTTAAGAAACAATACCATATAATGACTCAAATTAAATCACGTGTATAAGATAGCTAGATAATTACATTAGAATCCGATGTTGTAGCACCTTCTCGTATCTTTATTCTAACAATAAGTATCTCGGAGCACGTTGCTCAGATTTGATTTATGTACATTTTCTTCGTGACTTTATACTTACATTTTTTAGCTTGTCTCGCCAATCGCGTTACATGTTCATAAATTTGATAGCACGAGGTAATGTTCGCCGTGATCTTGAATTTTTATTTCGAGTCAATAGAAGGCAACGTGACAGCACACTTCGGACTGTCAATATTTTCGATGACGGTACATGAATAATGAAATTTTCAACAATTCCAAGAAATGACACCGCAAAAAATATCAGTATTATGGCACACCAGTATTTCCAGTTTGTTAGTATCAAATCTGCCATAAAAAAGTCAAGAAAAAGGTAGTTTTAAGGAGTAAATGGTTAAAGTAAGGGCTAATTAGTTATGAGAAGTAGCTATGTAATATACGAACCGTAACATAACGTAATATACGAGAAAAATTGATGTTATATAACTCTGGATTATTCTAGAATACATAAGAAATTTTTATTTGTTTCGTAATTTTACTGCGTTTTATATCGACTAAATTCAATTTGTGAACAAATAATTTGAAGAAAGAGTGATATCGTAGGAACAAAGAGTGATTACACTGAGAATTTAATTCTTGAAAATTTTAATTGTATAAAATTTTGCGGTAATCACAATTAAGCATTAATATTTATTGTTAGTTTTCAACGAAAGGAAATAATTTCAAAATTAAAATGTATAGTTCGAAAGCGTATCTACCTGCAAATTTATTTTAAAGAACTTCATATTTAAAATCACACAGTTTTTAGTCTTTTAAAAATCAACAAAAATATTTATTATAATTAAATTGGAAATATTGAGTGGTCATTGAAGCAATTTTTAGAATATTGCGTATTGATTGAAATAGATTTATTTGATTGAATAAATTTTAACTTGTAGGATTGACTTCAAGGCAGAATAAAAACTCGTATGAAAACATATATTGATCTTAATTAATTCAAAAGATTAGTAAAGAAAAAACTTCATATTAAAATTATATACAAATTTTATACAAATGTAAATTATCAATAATAGTCAAAATCGTAAAATTTGTTATCTAGTCTGAAGGTTGTGAAATTTTTTTATGTTTTTATTACGTTAAGCTAAGTTTCTTCGACAATTCGAACTGCATAGTTAAAATTTTTATCATTTTGTTAAAATTTTCTCTACGTAAAACTTTCTAATGTGATCGTCTAGTTGCACCACTTACTTTCTTATTATTTGACGAAGAATTATTTACGCGTGAAAATTAGGTCTACGATCTACCAAGAGTATTGAGTCACAGATAATTGATTAAATGTATCGGAAAAATTAAGAAATTTTTAAAAAGTCAATGTAAAAACGTTGCTTTTTGAATCTTTTGCCAATGAGAAGATTCTATATGCAAAAGCCACAATTATCTTTATCAAGACTTGCAATTTTTTCCATTATTTTTAATTTCTCATCGAACGTATGTTTAATTTTTCATGTAATTTTTTTTGCGTATAAATCTTTATTATTTTTAATCTTATAGCACGTGTAAAATTAATCGTTCAAGAATATTAATCTTGCATGCTTTTAATCTTACTAATTCTTATTTTAAATCTTACTCATGTGTATGAGACACATGTATAAGAATCATTCATTCGTTAGTGTTTAATTCTTGCATTCTAATTATTAACTTACGAGTCTTGATATATTAGAAGGGAGCCAACAAAAGAGCTTGGTTACTCTTGTCTATATTGATTATTATTTGGTCTAATACAGAAATGTTTGTATTTATATTATTCTAAAACAATTTGAATATCAATACTTATATATTAATCGCCTGTGGCTTTCTTGCTCTTTTGCACAAAATTTTATTTTTGCTTTATCAGTTTTTTTTTTATCTGAATTAGTTAAACAATTGTATCTTCTTGAGCGTTGCGAGTTTTCAATTGTTGGTGTTGTTTAGATTTTTGCGAACTGCTCGAGCTTGAAGCTACTTCGAACCATTCAAATAGTTGAACAGAACTACGCAATTTGTTCAAACCTGTGTTTAAATCCTAATTTTATTTCCAACCGTGATTTCAGAAACTGGCAAATGTGCAATTGCGTCAGCGCAGCCATGCATTCACTGCATACGCTTAGTCGAATATGACATTGCATGGACGTTGGTCGATTGTCGTTTACACTGGCTCTTGACGTAATACCAGTAATGTTTTTTCTAAGCATCTAACAATTTTTTAATCTATTTAATGTATTAATTATTCACATAAAGCACAGTCCTTGGTCTTGCTCTCGGCATTTACTTGCATTATTAATGATTGCATACAAATCAGAATGTCAAAACCAATATAAAAGTATAAAAACTAATAGGCTATTCGGA